TGCCGTCTGGGAGTTGGCACAGGCTGGCTGAGTGGGGTGCAAGGAGGTGAGCCTAAGGGAACAGGACCAGCCAGGCCAAAGCTTCTGCTGGGAACTCAGTGCTCCTGCTGCCTTTGGGGGCTGTGGTTTCTCTTCCTGTGGTCTCTGTGGCTCTGATTTTCCAAGATAGTTCTCATAATTTCTGGTCCACTAAAGGCTACCTTTGATTTCAAGATCTTTTATTTCTCTTACTTTTTCTTTTTTAGTAGGGATATAGTGATGTGCTCTACCCCAAGCTACAGCCTTACTAGTATATTAATTTTATTTAAAATTTTTTTATTAAAAAAATTTTTTTTTGAAACAAGGTCTCAGTCTGTAGACCAGACTAGGCTCAAACTCCTAGGGATTCTCCTACCTTGCTGTCCTAGGTGCTGGGATTACAGGTGTGTGCCTGGCTGTCTCATTTCATCTTTAAAACAAACAAACAAACAAACAAACAAAACCGAGCAATACACAGTCTGCTGTTTTTAAGTACTTGTGGTAATATGTTACAGCTGACACATGTGGGTTACCTTTATTCAATGTAAGTTCTTATGCTTCAGTGTGCTCAGTTAGAAGAGGACGTTGTGAAACCTTTTCTTCCTGCATGCCCTCACCCTAGCACCCTTTCTTAGCAAATCCCAGTGTTTTTTTTTTTTTTTTTTTTTGGTACTGGGGATCAAACTCACAACTGTGTGCTTGCAAGACAGGCACTTATGCCACTAAGCTAAATCCCCAGCCCAATTCCCAATGTGTTTAACATACATTTTTTCATGCTTTTTTTTTCTGATTATTTTAAACAGCGCCATAAAATTAGCAATGTATTTACATTCACTTTTGTAATACTTGTAATCTTATTATGAATTGTAAAGCAAAGCCAGATCGTTGAGTTAAATGGACATTTCACAGTTTAGTAGGTTGCCAGACTATCACAGAAAATGGTAGTTCTAATTTCTAATTCTCCTAATGGCATATGAGGTTATCTATTTGCCAATACTGGCTATTATTGAATTACAAGATGGTTTTATAACTCTTATGGCCAGAAGATGGTATCAATTTTTATAATTTCCATTTTCTTATATTTTAAATTTTATAATGAGGCAGATTTTTAAAAAATGTGCATTGTGCTGGGCATGGTGGCTCACGCCTATAATCTCAGCACTTGGGAGGCTGAGGCAGGAGGGTCGTTGTGAGTTCGAGACCAGCCTGAGCTACAAATTGAGCTCAAGGCCAGCCTGAACGGTATAGTGAGATCCTGTCTCAAAAAGAGAAAAAAAAAAATGTGCATTGTTTCTTGAGTTAAGAAGACCAATTCCTAAAAGGTTATGGTAACAGTGAAAAGGAGTTTGTTTATTTCAGATGTGGGATGAAGCATGTTTGGCATCTGTCTGGGTAACTACAGTGTGTGAAGACTTAGTGGCGTGTAAAGTTTGTCATCTTTCACTCCTTTTTTTTTTCTTAGTTCCTTTAAAATTTTTTTATTGGTACATTTTCAATATACATAATAACATAACATTAGCCATAGGGCATATCCTCTTCCCTTTCTTTAACCCCCTGCTTCCCTTCCTTACTTCAAAAAGTTTTATCTAGTCCAGGCTGGCCTTGAACTCTCTATGTTACCTTGAACTCTTTATATAGCCTGGGCAGGTCTTGAATTCACAGCAATCCTCCTGCCTCAGCTTCCTGAATGCTAGGCTTACAGATGTGCCCTTCCACGCCCACTGTTCTATTCTCATCCTTCTCTCCTTCATGTCCTTCTCCTCTTCTTGCACTGAACTGATACCTTGGGTGTGTTCCACATGTTCTTTTAAATGATTCTCTTCCTTTGCTTTTCTGAGATAACCTAGGAGTCTTTTCAATAATATTATGTGAAGAGTTTCTTCCTTGGATTTGTGGGGTCCAGGAATTAGACAACATTTGTCTGTTATCTTCCAAAGTAAAATCTTGCATCTTATGTTTAGGAAAATATTCTAGATTTTCACTTTTCTTATGAGAGAGATTTTTAGGAAATTCTTGGGTCAGCAGGTTCACTGTAGAGCTCAGCAGATTTCTAAAATGTTAGCTAACAGAGCCTTTCACACAGGGTTGTGTTCCCCAGATTCATCTGTGCATTCAATGCAGTTACACATATGATCGTGTTAAGATTTTTTTGTATAAATCAGTAACTTGTTCTAAAGTTCTTGTGTGGAAAAGCAGAGGAACGGCACTTATTTTAGACTGACTATATAAATACACATAGTATTGGTAAAATGAATAGATTTCTAAGTCAATGGAAAAGAATAAAAGTTAGAAAACCCAGGAATTGACTTGCACATAATATGGTCAATTGATTTTCCACAGAGTTGCACATTTGCCCAGCAAGTCAGTAGAATGATACCTTGTTCAATATGTGATGTGAGCAATTGGGGATCTGCATGAACCTAGACCCACTTCTTAGCCTACATACAAAATTAAACCTCAGATGTCTCATAGGCCTTAGTGTGAAACCTAAATATGGAAACTATAAAACTTTTAAAGGAAGACATGGAAAAATCCTTTGACCTTGGGTTAAGCAAAAATTTCTTTGCTACTCTATCAAAAGATCCCTGAAAAAATGAAAGGTCAGACTTCATCAAACTTTAAAATTTCTGCTATTTGAAAGACACTGTTAAAGTCACTGTGGTGGCACATGCCTGTAAGCCCAGTACTTAGGAGGCTCAGGTAGGAGGATCACTATGAGTTTGAGGCCAGCCTACACTACATAGTGAAACTCCCCCACCCAAAAAAATCAAAATACAACACATTAGAGGACAGTGGTTTGCAAAGTGTGAACCATGGGTTTAGATCTGTGGCTCAGCATCTGCCTAGCTCGTGTAAGGCCCTGAGTTCAGTGTCATATAGCTCAAAAGAAACCACCTATAGTGGATTGGTGGTCAACTTAAATACCAGCTGAACTGAATCAGTGTGGTGCTGATTATGGATGGCCCATCTGAAGACTGCTGTCAGCATAGAAAGGAGATCTAGAGAGAAAGAGTAGCATTGTGAGTTCTCCTAAGTGTAGTTGTTTGGAGCTGTTGGTCCTCCTGGAGGAGCTTGTCATGCTGGGTGCCCCCCCCCCCATCCCCATGTGAACTCTGCTGTTATCATTGGAGGAGCTCAGGACCTTGTCACTGAGAATGGCCGAGGTTCATTTTGGGGGGAGCTCTGGTCCTTACTTTGAGCATCGCTTCTTGGCTCTGGAGGGGAAGATGTGTGCTGTTGAGTCTCCCTTGGAAGCTTGTCCTGCTGGCTTCTTTTTATGAACTTGGCTGTTTTTATTATCAGAGGAGCTCAAGACCTCATTGTCACTCAGGATGGCATGTGCCACCACAGTGACTTTAACAGTGTCTTTCAAATAGCAGAAATTTTAAAGTTTGATGAAGTCTGACCTTTCATTTTTTCAGGAATCTTTTGATAGAGTAGCAAAGAATTTTTCAGGAGAGCCGTAGTCTTTATCCTGAACATTGCTTCTTGGCTGAAGTACAGAACCCTCTGCCTACTGGCACAGACTTTCTAGCTTCTAGTGCTGACCTTTGGGCCTTCACAGTGCAGATTTATAAAATAGACTTGCATGAGTCATTGTGGTGGGCTTCAGATTTTCAGCCGAACTCAGGCAGGTTATTGCCAGAGGATCCAGGCCTTTGGCTGGATTTTCTAGGTCTTTAGTGTTATGGACAAATTTTTTGTACTTTCTTTGTATTTGACTCCTTGTGTGATCATTATAGATAATATTGTAAATTAGGTGTCCTATATGTAATTGTTTTCCTTGTAACATCTGACTATAACAGCACTTAAAAAAAGGGACAATATTTATAAAACTCATGTGATAAAAGATTCATATTTCAAGTATATAAAGTCCCAGAATTCACTAGTCAGAAACTCCAATTTAAAAATAGTTTTATAAAGTCCTAGAGTTCAATAGTCAAACAATCCAATTTAAAAATAAGTTTTTAAAAAAAGAGATCATTCAGTTCTCTAAAGATAGAGGAGGAACAAACATACATGCGATGTTTGACATCCCTAGTTCATTAAGAATGAGATCTGCGCCTTTAAAGCAGGCAGTCGTGAGTTCGATTCCTGGTACCGATAAAAAGGAAAAAGACAAAAAAAAAAAAAAAAAAAAAGAATGAGACCTGTATGTGGTGGGTCAGCACCCTTACTGAACACAAGTGCAGCCCTCCGCTTCCACAAGTTTTGCTGGTGTCCTCATCCAGCCTCCTCTCCAGGAGCAGTGACTGTGCTTGCATCCTGTGGGAACTGTTTAAATGACTTGATAGCTTTGGAGCATTTGATTTTCATCATGGATCCTAAGCCTGTGGTGCGTCATGATGGTTTTGTTTAGTTTAATGATAATGTTTGATAATTTGTAGAATGAAAAGGACTTATCTTTGCTTATTGGAAAGGCTTTTCTTATACTGGTAGTACTTACAGTGCTTGAATCAAGTAGGAATGAATGACTCAGTTCTGTTCTATTCCCATTTATTAAAACTTTAAATTGTGGACAGTTTTTGTATATTTCAAGCTAACTATGAAGAGTAACAGGAACTCCACTGGTAAAACAGTATTAAGAGTGGCTAGGAGTTTCACATGCCCATTATCCCAGCACTGTGGCAGACTGAGATGGGAGGATTACAAGTTCCAGCCCAGCCTGGACAGTTAAGCAGTTTAGCTAGACTGTGTCCCAAAATGAAAAAGAGGGCCTGGGGATTTAGCTCAGTAGCACAGTGCCTGCCTATTAAGCATGAGGTCCTGAGTTAGATTCACAGCACCAAAACAATAGCAGCAACAACAAAAAACCTGAACAAACAAACAAACAAAAAGAGCTGGGACGTAGCTCACTGTGAAGGCCCTGGGTTCAGTCCTGAGTACCAAAGTGAAACAAAACAGTAGTTGGATCTGTTTTTTTTGTTTTGTTTTGTTTTTCTACTTGTTTTACTGGCAATTATTCTTTGTGATTGTTGCAGGTACTCCATCTTCTAAACCAACAGTGCTAGCCAATGGTGACCATGCAATAGAAGGGAATGATACTACAGGTAAGTGGTCCCCAGGATTCCCCAGGCGTGTGAGTGAAATGTGCAGAGGAAACACCTTGGCACACGCCTTTGAAGAGGTTTGCTAGTGGAAGCACGTGAATTATTCCAAGGGTATTGTTATTACTGGATATAAGGACATCTGCTATATAAAATCTGTAATGCTGGTAAGAGAATAAGTTTCTTGTACTACTCCTTAAATATTTGCTGGAGCTGTACCAGTCAACGATTGGATCTATCTTAAAAATACTCTTACAGATGCTGAAACTCATCATCATATTATGTTGTGTGGAAGCATTTGGCTTCTCCAGCTCTTTGAGGCAGGTCTCATCCCTGAATGCAAGCCATGCTTAGTTTGCTTTCTGAACCCCAATATTAGGAAATCTGTGAGGAATAAAATACAAGTGCTTTCCTTTGTCTTTTGTCCTCAGTCTCTTTTTTTTCTGTATTTTTCCCATAATTGCTGCTATTGAGATTTGGCTCTAACTCTAGCCCACTAGTAAGACTTTGACGTTCTCAGCTTGCACTGAGCTCCCATAGGTACGAGACCCTCTAGCCAGCACAAAGCCCTGCCCTGGTGTCTTTGTGGTGAGCAGAGTTCTGAGTGTTCTAGCAGGAATCTGTCCACAGGGGTACATTATTTAAATCTTAGGTAGCCTATGTGAGAGTCATGTATTGTATTTTTATAAATAACTGCACTTAATTTGCAGTTGTGACCAAGCCAGCACAGCTGATTCAAATGATTTGGCTTCTGATGCTCAGGCACCCTGTTGTCTGCAGTGGACAGCTTTTAACCCTGGGCATGGCCCTGCAGGCACACTCACACAGTAGAGGCCAGCCCTGGAGGCACATGGTGGAGGCCGGCACTCAACACTACTGTTGCTGTGTTTTTCTTGTCTGAGTGTGTTGACCATGAGAAGCCTTTTCTGGAGCCATCATACATAGGGATGCTCAGCTTCTGAGGCTCCCCAAAAGTCGTAGGCTAGTAGTGGTAGCTATTCCAGGAGTTAGTCTTTATTCTGAGACTTAAGGACTGTTCTATATCTCTGTACCTCAGTTATTAATTTCTTTTTGTTCTGAATATTAATTTTACCCAGTGACATTAACACTAGCAATGATAACTTCAGTATTCTTTACTTGAAAATCTGGAAGCAACCAGGAGTGTCACATTATTTATTTTCCAGCTTTGTAAGGTGACATTTTTATGTTTCTGTGATTATTATAGTCATATACAGTACTGACTTCCTGAGCCTGATTTGAAAGCAAAGTCCTCTATATGAATTGCAAATATGTTTGTGATTAATGAAGAAACTGGAACATGAGCTCTTGAAAAATGAGTAAAATCAGCTTTCTTTAACTAGTAGACAGTATTAGGGGGAAGCAATGGCTAGAGACATTGATTCAGTGAGCCAGTTGGAACCAGCAACCAGAGCTGGGCTCAGTTTCTTTGCAGCAGGTCCTTGAGTCTGCCCAGGAGAAACTGTCTCAGCAGTCTCTGCACTGCCAGATCTTACTTTCAGGACCTTCAGCTGGTGGCAAAAGCAGCTCATGTCTCTGTTGAACTGCCCAGTGACATTGTGAGAGCGAGTCCTTTCACATGTAGGCATCTTTCCACCTTTAGGCGGGATATAACTTGTACACCTGGGTTGTTTGAATTCTGACTTTGATCTCTCATTACTTTAAAGCAGGTATTTTACTGAGAATATGCATGTTCCACCAAAGAAGGGAGGAAATAGGGAGGGGGCAGTGTGCATGTTTGGGAGCATGTTGTGACTTAATTCTAATGTGTCCATCACTAACTAAAGCATCTAGCTCAATGCCCGTTTGAAAATCCCTGCTTTGGATTTCCCTCAGAGCACTGTCTGTGGTCCTGAGAGCAGGTCCACTCCATGAATAACAAAATATAAGGGGTGGATAAGCATCTTGCTCTGTTGAACTTGCTGTTTACTAATGACCTGTGCTTTTCCGCCCTTTCCTTCCCCTTCCCCTCCTTCTCCTGCCCTTTCTGTTTTTCTCCTCCCAGAAACCTAGCGTGTCTCAACACTGGGGCTGCGGCAACACCAGACCAGTGATTTTTCTAAGCACCGTTACACTCCCAAAACCTGCAGCATTTTGCAGCTTTGCTTTTCCTTCCGGGACACGATGTAGAAGAAGCTGAGGGTAGTTCTTCGGGGCCTCTTTCTGCTGATGCCTGGGCAAACCACCTCCTCCTCCTTGTGCTCTGCAGGGCTTGATGGAACCTCCTTTCCCTTTGTGAGCACAATGTGCAAGAGGAATTCTCTTTAATTTTAGTATTTTATAAAGATCATCTAATGTCTTATTTCTTGTTCTTTTTAAATTTTGTCATTTCATTCAGTCTCACGTTTTTTCTTTAAATGTTTTTAGTTGAACTTTTTCATTTGGTTTTGCATATTCAACATGAATCAGGATATTGCTTCATAAAGGAGCTGAGGTCACCAGTACTGTAGTGAAGTTCCTTTTCCTGTCCCTCCTTTTTCCCTCTGTGAGCTTGCTTTTTAGTGACATTTAATCTTTTAACCTACCTGCTTCACTTTATGAAAATCTGGATAATGATACCTATTTTAATTTCAAGCTTTCTAGTTTAGAGAGCTCTGATTAACCTTTGAAAAGTATTTCTCCAAATTTAGTTCTTTTTTGTTATCTGCAAGTTGGGCCAAAGTTATCTTTATCATGAAATTTTATCTAGAACTACATTGTTCTGAAAATTTGACTGCCCTATTGTTGTATATTGAATTTTTATGATCAGAGTTAACCTTGGAGCATGATCATTGACTATCAGAATAAAATCTGAGAAGTTAAAGAAAAGAAAATGGATCTAAGTCATATTGTTCTTGAATCCTATATTGTTAGAACAGTGGAATGTTCATAAGATAAAAAGTAACTTCAGTAACAGCTCAGAGTGAATATAAATTGCAACACATTTAAAAATAGGGTTGAGCAGGTTTCTAATGGAATTACTTTTCCCTGCCATGGGGACCAAACCCAAGGTCTTGTATAAGCTAACAAGTACTCTGCCACTGCGCTATATCCTTAGCACCCCTTGTGTTGGTTTGGCTGAGGTAGGCTCTTGCTGAGTTGCTCAGGTTGGCTTGAGCTCAAGTGGTCCTCCTGCCTCAGCAGTCCTAAACAGTTGAAATATAGGCACACACACCACACCTAGCTTCTGATTTGACTCTAGGTCTAATCAGGATTAGTATCTCTTTGGACTCTGGAGATCACTTTTTATGCTATATTCCAGTGGCCTGGCGAATTACACCCAAGACCTGGGTGAAAAATCATGTATTGTGAGCATAACATTTACATCCACACATTTTGACGACTGTCTCAGTGGTACTTTCTTACTATCTTTTTTTTATTTTTCTAAAACAGTAGGCTAACCAAATAAAGATCTAGACTCTTAGAATAAGTGCTGTGCATCTTTATAGTAGTAAGCTTTGAATGGAGCTTTAGAAATAGAATATAAATGATGGAGTATGTTTTGAAATCTTACAGGACAGTTCTAGTTTCAGTTTGGGAATATAGCTCAGTGGCACAGTGCCTGTCTGGCAAGTGTGAGGTTGGGAGTTCGATTGCCAGTGCCAGTAAATAAGAGTAAATTTTTTAAACTTCTAAGGTACTGATTGTTTCAGATTAAGGGAAATAATTAGTACCATATCCAGAGGAAAGCACAGTATATGTAGTTTGAGATCTGCTAATATAAAACTACTTTGGAGAGGCGAAACTGGGGTCATGACAGTATGCGCAATCCTTGCAGGGACGGACTTCTAGCATTCGGAAAACCTCTTCAGCAGGGATCTAGTTGCAAGGGTTGGTGACTCTCCCACGTATTCCTGCCAGAAACACTTGTGGGACCACATCTGAGTGGGAAGAATTTGGGTTTATCAGCTGATGAAATGGAAAACTCTTACAGGAAAGTATACGATCAAATCAGACACATGTTGGCTGTGCAGCTGTTTAATAGGCTGTACAGTTGTTTAATAGGTGCAGAAGACTTCAGAACTGGCAGCACTGCCTTTTAAAAATTGTGTGTGACATCTTTCTGCAGCTTCTCACCATCTCTGTAGCTTGTCCAGGGCCTGGGTGAGTAAAGAAGGTGGAGTGCAGATCTTCATTTATATACACTCATACTTCATGACTGACCTTGATTTATTCCGCTTTTATTTCCATTTGTTTGTTTTTGTTTGAGAATTTTAAAAAATTTATTTTCTTTTTTGAATTTATGGAATTGTAGAGCTTTTCTACTCACAGCTAGTTAAAAATTGGTTTATTTTATTACTCTCTGTGTTTCGCTTGGATGTTTAACTTTGAAAGAAATAATGTAATGTTTCACATACACTCCTGTGAAATTTCATGTGCTCATATGAAGTAGCCGGTCTCGTAAAGTGTGCTGCTTACTGTAATGCTCAGGCACCAGTGTCCTGGTACTCACTGGTGAGGGAGCTGGACTGCTGAGGGTTACTCTGTGGAAATGTTGATGTTTTTCATTTTCTATCTCTCTCTCTTCCTTTTTTGGCCCAATGTTGAAGATACAGAAGTTGTTTTCAAATAATGTTTTTCTAACTTCATTCACACACCTAAGTTTGTATTTTTTATGACTTTAGACTTTTAACAGTTTGTATATGGGGACATTTTAATGTGATCATTGTGCTAAATAAATTAACTAATAAATATCTTACATTAACACCTCACAGACTGGATTTTGGTTGGGGTATTAATTATTGAAGTGTAATTTATCTAAGACACAGTTTCCATAAGTAAATATTCTTTGAGACCCAAGTAGTGGTCTAGCAAAACTTCTAATCTCACCTATCATAATTTCATCATGTATTGGCTTTTTACCAAACACTTTCACTTATAGTGTCATTTTTTTCATCAGTAGGGTAAAAATTTTTATCTAAAATCTTTAAAAAGAAGCTGGATGTGGAGGCACATGCCTGTAAGCCCAGTACTCAGGAGTCTGAGGCAGGAGAATCACTGCAAATTTGAGCCCAGTCTGAGCTACAAAATGAGCTCTGGGCCATCCTGAACTGCATAGTGACACCCTATCTCAAAAAGACCACCCCCCTCACAAGGGGAGAAAAGAAAAAAAAGAAAAGATGCTCAGATGACTTTTGATACTTCAAAGCATGTAGTGAGAAAGACAGTAGACAGAATGGTAAGAAAGGGTCTTCCGTGAGGCAGTTTCTATGCCATATCAATTATTGTTAGATACTTTCTAATACTACATTTATTTTGTTCATTTAAAACTCAATTCACATAAGTGTGAGGTCATGAGTTTGATCCCTAGTACAAAAAAGAAAAGTGCCACATATATATTTAACTTCGTGATTTTATTATTTGATAGTCTAGAATATTGTCTAGAAAGAATTGAGAAGCCAGGCATGGTAGCGCATGTCTGTATTCTCAGCACTCAGGAGGCCGAGGCAGGAGAATTGGTGCGAGTTTGAGACCAGCCTGGGCTACAAAGTTCAAGGCCAGCTCAAACTGCATAGTGAGACCCTGGCTTTAAAAAAAAAAAAAAAAAAGAGAGAGAGAGAGAGAGAGAGAGACAGAATATCTAGTTCCCTAGTTTTATTTTGAGGTTAGTGTGTGTATGTGTTTGTTTCTGAGACAGGGTCTCACTGTGTCATTTAGTCTTGGAGTCACAGTAGTCATGGACTCACTGTGTAGCCCAGGTTGGCCTTGGACACATGGTGACCCTCCTGTATGCTGAATCCTGATTACAGGTGCCTGCCAACATGCCCAGCCTAAATTAATGTTTCTCGGTTGTCTTTTTTTTTTGAGACAAGGTCTCACATGTAGTTCAGACTGGCCTTGAACTTACTATATGTTTTAGGCTTACCTGGAACTTGCCAAGATCCTCCTTCCTCTGGCTTCTGAGTGCTGGGGTTACAGGGTGGTTACACCACCATGCTTGGCTAAGTTAGTGTTGCTTTACTATAGACAGGTTGTAAGATGTTGACTGAATTAGACATTGAAAAGATTAAGGATATTTACATGGTCTATGAGCTTTTTAATTTGGCAGACTATTCTCTCTCTCTCTCTCTCTTAAATTAAGAAAGCTCAGTGTAGCCTGGCATGGTGGCATATGACTCCAATCCCTGCATTCAGGGAGGCTGAACAGGAGGGCTCCAAGTTTGACCCCAGCCTGGGCAATTAGTGAGACCCTGTCTCAGAAAATAGAGAAGAGATGGAAGAGCCCAGATTTATTCCTCAGTATTAAAACAGAAAGAAGTGTAATTTACAATTCTGATTTTCTTATTGGAACACTGGCTTAATGCTTCCCACTGTCGAAGCAGGTCTTACATTTTAGCATCTGTTCTGTTGAGAGATGAGAGCTGGCTCCATGTGGATTCTTCTTCCTTTCTCATTTCATTTGATGGGGCTGGGAGGTGGGGCAGTGGTAGCGACACACCTCTGAATGGGGATGTAGTGTTACCACGCGTAAAACCGGATGGTCCTTGATCATATATTGATGCTGTTCCATTGTAGTGAATGCTGAATGAAATTTAACCTTCTGTGCTACTGTAGAGACAGATTATTTTTGTTTACCAGATGGGACACACTGAGTTCCCCACCAGTGGCAGTGTTATTTGCTGTTTCCAGCATAGTAGATGGGTTTTATCTGAAAGGTCTGTGATACCAGTCCCCAAGGCCTTCCCAGCTGTGAAATAGTATAAGCACATGGTTGGACTGTCAGGACATAGAGCACCCTTCCTTGTGTGTTTCATCACTTCCTTGATCATCAGAGAGAATACAAAGGATTTAATCTTAGAAACATTTAAAAGCACCAAAACTCTGAAATACTATCAGGTAAAAGAATCTGTGGTGTGTTAAGAGTTTCAGGATAGCTGTTACAACCAACCCATATTGTTGATACTGTGTTTCCTAACCAAAATCCAAGGTAAAATAGCATGTGGTATTCCTGGGAATAGACTTTCCAAGAAGTTCTTTCCCCATCCACCTCCTGGAATCTGGCAAACAAAGCTTTTGCTTTTTTCTTTGATTTTCAGATACAAGTTGAATATTGGAGACAGGACAACAACATACAACTCAGTGTTTCTTGAAGTCTTTTGGCAGTGGTTTTCTGTTAAGAATATTCAGTTCTTTTCAGAAAAATCCACATACACATTAGCTTTGTTTTTTATTTTTTGGTGCAGGGAATTGAACTCAGGGCCTTGCAAGTTATCAGGCAGGTGCTGTGCTGCTGAGCTATATCCCTGGCCCCATCATACATTTTTTTGGGTACAAGGGATCAAATTCAGAACCTTGAGCTTGCCAGTCAGGTGCTTGTGCCACTGGGTTATATCTCTGGCCCCCTACAAGTTAACTGTAGAAAGCTAACTTCCTAAATTTTACTTTCAGGGCAACTTTCTTTTTGACGTGAACTACATCTCTAGCCCCCTTTAAAAATTTTTTTATTTTGAAACAGGTCTAGGCTCAAACTGGTGATCCTCTTGCCTCAGCCTCCCACAGTGCCGGGGATTACAAGATTGTACCCCACACCTGTCTAACTTTAGGGTCTTCAGGATTCTCATAAAACTAACTCATGAACTGAGCCTAAAAAACGTCATCTAAACAAAAGGTATTTTGTTTTTGAGAATATCATAAATAACATGAATACATGAGTATGTTCTCACATAGATACTTAAAAGTATTATAGTGAAACACATCATCTGAGAACAGAAATCCCCCCTCCCCACAGAACTATTGACATTTACACACAGGTAGTGTAAACTGATCATGTATTTTTACATGATTTTAGTCTTAGATTTTTTGTTTGATACATATCAATAAGAATTATTGTCATTTGTATGCATATTTGAGTTTGTAAATTCTTTGACTATATAATAATATATCCAGATGAAGTTAATAATTGAGCTTGAATTGAAGTTATTCTGAAAAGAAGCGCTTTCTACTACAGCGTGTTACATCACAATGGAGTTCAGACCCCCACCCCTACCCCCATCCATTCCACCTCTACTGGGGACAAATCCCCTCCCCTTCAGCCATTTTCAGTTTGAGACATGGTCCTGCTGTGTTGGCCAGGCTAACTTAGTACTTGCTACCCTCTTGCCTCAACATCTTTAGTGCTGGACTCACTCCTTTGGTCCCCTTGTCCTGTTTCCCTGTCCCCCCACCATGGGTCTTCTTTCTTAACTTTATTTTGAGATAAAATGTCACTAATACAGTTACAGCTGCCCTCAAACTCCTGGTGACCCTTCTGCCTCAGCCTTCTGAGCGCTGAGATTATAGGTGTGTATCATGCCCAGCACAGTGGGTCTTCTTAAGTGCAAAAAGCCCTTGGAGGCCTATTTTAAAGATTGTCTTAGAGTCAAGTTCACACTGAAAGAAGGAATTTGCATGTAGGTAATTATTTTAGGAAGCCATTCAGGGAACAAGAGTAGGAGGCTTAGGCCTGGGGTTGTCAATTGTCTGCCATGTGCGAGAGGCTGAGAAATGGGAGCTGGAAAGAGGGAAAGGCAGAACAGTGAAGTGTTTGTAACTCAGTCACTGCTCTGTGAAAAGGAGGCTCAGTCCTGCTCTGAGCCAAGGAAGTGGTATTCATCATTTACCAACTCTCAGTGGGTAGGTCTCTGCTTCTGGAGGGGGGCTTGTGCAGTACCAGGTCCACATCTGTGGTGCCAGAGAGGGTGGGAAGCAGAAATCAGTCACTGTTACATCACGGCTGTGCACAGCTGGGTGCTTCACTTTAGCTGTAGTAAAAGGCAAAACAAAAGGCTGAGGTGAGGGCATAAGAAGTGTCAAGTGAAGGGATGAGGATTTAGCTCAGTGGCATAGGCATACGTGGCATAAGTGCCTGCTTTGCTTGAGTTTGATCCCCGGTATCATAAAACAAAAGAAGTGCCAAGACTTTGAACATGAGGTTTGTCTCCATGCCGTGGCAGAGTAGATGGGCTGAACATCCTGGCATGCTATCCAGGAAAACCTGAAGGAGCTCCACCTCGCATGGCATTAATTACCTGGCATAATTTTGAGAAAATACAGAGCTAGTCACACAAGATAGTTTTAGGATTTCCTGTCCTAATATTTGCTTCTTAAATCAGTTTCAGTAATTTCTTCATGGGAATTTATCTGCTTTGTGTAGGTTCTATAATTTGTCCTCATAAGTTTTTTTAGTTCCATAAGATTGGTAATGATAGATTTTTTTTTTTTTTTTTTTTGTATGAGGAATAAAACTCACAACTTTGCGCTTGCCAGGAAGGCACTGTGCTGCTGAGCTAAATCCCCAGCCCCTTTTTTCCGTCTTTTTGAGATAAGACTTTGCTATGGAGTTCAGGTGGACTTCGAACTCTGCTTTGTAGCCCAGGCTGGCCTCAAACTTGAGCATGTGCCACCACAGCTGACTCTCTTCATTCCTGATTTTAATAATATATATATTTTTGGGGTACAGAGAATTGAACTGAAGACCCTACACCTGTCAGGCAGGGACTGTGCTGCGGAACTGTACCTCTGGCCTGGTTTTAATAATTTGTATCTCCTTTTTTCTTGCTAACTCAACCTCAAGTTTTGTTAATCTTTTAAAGAACCAACTTTTGGAACTGGATATGTTGGACACACCTGCAGTCCCAGCACTCTGGAGGCTAAGGCAAGAGGATTTCAAATTGGAGGCCAGTCTGAGACCTTGTCTCCAAAGAAACAAGCAGCCAACCAGCCAATCAAAAACCAACTTTCACTTTTATTGAATTTTCTCTTTTCCATTTCCTTTATTTCCATTTTAGTCTATATTATTTCCTTTCCTCTGCTTGCTTTTTTTAGTCTGCTCTTTTTTTAATTTCTTGAAAGATTATTATACTAGAGATGGAGTCTTGCTAAATTGCCCAAGGACTGAATTTGTGGTTCTTCTGCCTCAGCCTCTTGGAAGTGCTGGGATTATAAACATGCACCACCATTCCTGGCTAATTTGGGATCGTCTAAATTTGTATTCTTTTTTTTTTTTTTTTTGTGCCAGGGATCGAACTCACGCTTATACTGTGTGCTTATACTGCTGAGGTAAATCCCCAGCCCCTAAATTTTTATTCTTTAATATAAGGATTTATGAGCTATCCATTTACTCATAAGTATAGTTTTAACTGCATTCTGTAAGTTTCATAGTATCTTATTTTACTTATTTCAAAATATTTTGTAAAATTTCCTTTCTTTGACCTATTTAGGATTCTTGTGTCAGTTTGTACATATTTTGCAAATTTCCCAAACTTGTGTCTCCTGCTGTGCTCTAATTTCATCCCACTGCAACTGAGGAATGTGCTTTGTGTGACTTCTACCTTGTATTTATTCATTTCTTTTGAGATGGACCTCCCTGTGTTGCCAGGCTGTCCTCCGATTTGCAGCTCTCTCACCTCAGCCTCCCAGCTAGCTGGGGTTATGACATGTGCCCCCACTCCTGGCCTCACCTTGTATGATTTGGTACTTTTAAATGTACGGAGACTTGCTCTGTGTCCTGACTTACAGTCCACTTTGGTAAATAGTGTTGTGTCCTGTTGTTAGTTCTGTTTGGTTTATAGTGTTGGCTAGGTCTTCTGTATCCTTTTAACTTTTTTTTTCTATTGTAACTGTTCTACCCATTATTAAATATGGGATGAAGACTAATAATTATAGAATTATTTCTTTCTCTTCAGTTCTGTACATATTTGAGGATTTTATACTGCTCTGTGTGAATGTGTATGTGTCTGTGTGCAGCACTAGGGATTAGACCCAGGGTCTGCTGAGCTAAACATCTCCTCATCCTTTAAATACACTTTGAGACGAGGTCTTGCCATATTGCCCAGGTTAGGTTGTTTTTTTTTTTTTTTTTTTTTTTAAATAAATTCAGGGCCTCACATTTGCTAGACAGGCACTGTGCCACTGAACTATATCCCTGGCCCACCCAGGTTAGCTTTGAATTGGTAAGGTTTCTTGTGTAGCTGGGACTTCAGGCTTTTGCTACATTGCCTGGCTTAGCCTAATATTTTAAAGGAGTAATTGATAAAATGGATTTGAAAATAAAGTGAAGGACTAATTTAAAAAATACAATTAATTTCTGGTGCCTTTTGCACTGTGTATGGATTGGTTTCTTACAACAAATGTGGGCACATGGACAAGAAGGATGTACACGAGTGACCACAACTGTGAGCTGGTGGAACCTCCAAATGGCATTGAAATGCCTAAGAAGATTTAATGTGCTTTACTGGAAGGGGAGTCTTCCTTAGAATACTAATGACCTTTTTGCAAAATAGAAAAATCCATATGAAAATTCCTTCAGAGCCTTCAAGGGTCCTGAATAGCCAAAATAGTCTTGAAAAAGAACAAAATTGGATTTCTAAATTGCTGTGTTGTAGTAAGCAAAACGAAGTGGCACTGGCATAAAGGCAGACATGCAGATGAAGGGATCTAGTGTAGGGTGCCAGGGAGAAGCCCTCACCTGCATGGGCAGGTGGTTTTGAACTAAATAAGGGTGACAGTGGTAGTGAAGTCTAGTGTTCACTTATGGAAGAATGAAGTCAGACTCTTACCCTATATAATGTTTACAGGAACTAACTTAACATGCACCAGGGACCTAAAGAGAGAAGTAAAACCGTAAGTTTCTTAGAAAAAAAAAAATGGGAGAAAGCCTTCAGACATTGGATTTAGCCACATTTCCAGGATATGACACCAAAAACATAACAAAAATAGGTAAATTGGGCCATATCTCTCAGTGGATGTAAAAGGCAGCCTATGGAATAGGACAAGAGGTTTGAAAATCATATATCTGATAATGATTTTGCATTTTTCAAAACAGGATCTTTTTTTGTGTGTATTTTTGTGTTTTTGATATAGGGTCTTGCGGTACAGCCCATGCTGGCTTCAAACTTGCAGCGATCCATTTGCCTCAGCCTTCCGAGTACAGGGATTATAGGTCTGTGCTACCATGCCTGGCCTGAGACAAGTTCTTGCTGTATAGTTCAGCAAGAAATTTAATTCTGTGTATAGCCCATGCTGGCACTGGATTTGTGACGATGTTCCTGCCTCAGCCTCCTGGATGCTGGAATGATAGGTACACCACCGTTCCCCAGTGCCTGATAATGGTTTAATACTCAGAATGTATACACAACTTTTATAGCTCCATCCAAAAAGTTTTAAAAATAATAAAGGAGCCAGATATGGTGCCGAATGGACCAGCATTTGGAAGGCTGAGGCAGGAGGATTGTGAGTTGAGTGCCACATAGGCTACTTTCAAAACCCTATCTCAAAAGAGTTTTTTGGCTGGAAATATAGCTCAGTGGTACAGTGCCTGCCTGGCAAGCGTAAGGTCCTGAGTTCAATTCCCAGTACCAAAAAAAAAAAAAAAAAAGGCGGGGGGGTTTAAGGGTTGGGCATGTAGCTCAGTGTGAAGGTCCTATGAAAAAAGGGTTAAGGGACTTAACATTTCTTCTAAGAAGACATCCAAATGGCTAACATGCTCATGAAAAACTACTCGACAACACTAATCATTAGGGATAATGTAAATCCAAAACCATAGTGAGATACTGCATCACACTCGTTAGGAGGGCCAGTAGTAAAAAACAAACCAACAAAAATGAGCTGGGTGTGGTGGCAGGATCCCTAGGTTCAAAGCTCGCCTAGGCTGCCTAGTAAGTTCAAGGCCAGCCTAGACTAAATAATGAGACTGTCTCCAAAACAAAACAAGTTTTGGCAAGGATGTGGGAAGATTACAACTTTGTGTATGCTAGTAAGAATACAGAGTGCTGCAGCTGTTGTGGGGAACAACAGTTTCTGAAAACCCTGAGAGGGGAATTATTAGGCAAGGTGCCTCCTACCTACAGGCCTACCACTTGGGAGGCTGAGGAGTGGAGATCAGCTAGATTTCAAAGCAAGACCTGTCTCGAGTGAATGAATGAGTGAACAAACAAATTACTGTTGGAAGCAGCACTCAAGTGGGTACTTGTTCACATATTTCTCTCAAGAGTGGAAACACTGGACCACAAGTGGAAGCAGCCTGAGTTTTCCCGTCAGCACATTCATACCATGTAACATTACTGGACATGCTGCAAATGGATAAGCCAGGAAGATGCTGGTTTCTTTCTCTGTGTGTGTATGTGTGTGTGTGGTGATGGAGACTGAACCCAGGGTGTTCACACCGAGGTACATCTCAAGTCTCCAAATTTTTTTCTTTTTTTCAATTTTTGAGACAGGGTCTAAGTTCCCCAGGCTGGTCTTGAACCTGTGGTCCTCCTACCTAAGTCTCTCAGAGTGCTAGGATTACAGGAGTAGACTGCCATACTTGGCTGGAAGATGTTATTCTATGCAAAAAGGCCCGTCACAGAACAGATATTTTATGATTCCACTTATAGAAGATACCTAGAAGAGTCAAATTCATAGAAACCGAATGGTGGGGTTTCTTTAGGACTGCCAGAAAAAGGGAATGGAAAGTGACTTTTTTGTTTGTTTTGGTTTTTTGTTATTTTTGAGACAGTGTCTCACTGTGTAGCCCAGGCTGGCCTTGAATTCACATTGTAGATCAGGCTGGCCTTGAATTCCTAGTGATCTTCATGCCTCACCCTCAGGAATACTGGGATTACATGCCCTGCCAGAGTTACTATTTAGTGGATACAGAAGTTCAGTTTTATAAATGGAAAAATTTTGGCAGTGCACAGTGGTGATAGTTGCACAACAGTGTGAATATACTTAATACTACTAAACTGTATACTTACAAAAGTTAAACTGGGCATGGTGGCACCCGCCTGTAAGGTTGAGGCAGGAGGATCACTCAGAGACTAAGGCCAGCTGCACAGTAAGTTCAAGGCTATACAGAGTAAGTTCAAGGCAGCCTGCAGTCTAGATAGTGAGACCCAGGCTTAAAAAAGTTAAGTTGGTAGAATGAAAAAGAGAATAAGGAGTAGAGAAAGAAAAAAAGAATTAAAAAATTAAGAAATGCTAGATTACATTTAAGGAAAAAAAGTGACTTTCAAATTAGCTACAGAGTGCTTCAGAATTGAAGTGATGCTTTGTATGTCAGCTGCCTCACAGATTTGTTCTCGGTTGTCTGATTACAGAGGAAACGCATAAATGTGTAAGCTGCTTAAATGTTAAACAGTTGTGAGGAACATTTTGTAAGAACAGATATAACTTCACAAGGAGGTTGGGGGAGAACTGAGGAAACTGAAACTGAGCTGGCGGCTCCACTGTGATGCAAGATTGAAGCGTACCTTTGTGATGTCCTTGGCTGAATTCATGCTCTCCTCCTCCAGCAGCCACTCACACACAGCCTCTGCCCTGGTTCCCCGCCTCATTAAATGGAAATTCTGCCCGTCATGATTTGGCATTGGGATTCTCCTGTCTCCTGCTGCTCCTCTCGAGCTGCTCTTCTCGCGCTACCTGGACCTGACCACTCCTCACCACCTGCAGGCTCTCCCTCATGGAGCCCCTGCCTCTTGGCTTCACTGTTCTCCTGACAGGTCTCCCAGCTCCTGTGTGTCAGCTCCCTGCAGAGTACTCGCAAACGCCATAGTGATCTTCGTGTCACTAACCCCCAGTGGCTTTCCAACATAAAGGAAGAGCCACAGTCTTTACCACATGCCTACCACAACCCTGTCCTCCTCTGTCCTCTTTGCTTCACTCCTGTTCTCTGTGGGCCTGGCCTTCAGTTGTAAGCACTAGCTGTTTTCTCTGCCTGGAATGTTTTACAATAATACTTACAGATTTTCTCTTTGCGAGGCCCCCCCCCCCCCCATTTGCTTTTCACAGTAATTTTTCTTTAAGACAAGATCTTCCTATGTAGTTCTGGCTAGCCTTGAATTCACTGTGTAATTCAGCCTGGCCTCAAACTCAGTGATACTCGTGCCACAGCCTCCTAGGTGCTGGGATTACAAACATGCACCACTGCGCCTGCTATTCTCTATCTTACCTTAAATTTTACCCTTTCCATTTTTCTGAACTACTTCTCTGCTTTAATTTTTGGCATTGCAGTTGTCACTTGCTAATTTCTAATTATTTGTACAGTTTTAATTATCTATGTTTTTTATTGTCTTTTCCCACTAGAAGACGGTAGATACCATAAAGATAAATATTAAGAGTGGGGCAGAGTTGTTTTGTTCCTTGCGTAAGCCCAGCACATAGAACAGTGTCTGGCTTATAGTAGATACTCAGTAGCTACTGAATGAGTCATTTTGTTAAATATCTTTGTTTCTCATTGGTGAACTTACATAATTTGAGGAATCTGTGGAAAGAGCAGGCCTAGCCTGCTTTGATTCCTCCTTTACAAAAAAAAAAAGAGCTAATAATAAAAAAATTGTTGAGGCTGGGCATGTAGCTCAGTGGTAGTGTCCTAGCCTTGCATGCACAAGGCCTTGGGTTCATCCTTCAGCACTACAAAAATAATTGTTCAGATTAAGGTACAAAGTTTTGTAACCTAACTGAAGATGTTAATAAATGTATGATGAACAGATGCAGAAAATTGAATCCTACCCATATTTCTATGTACTCAACTAAAGCAAAATGTATCAAAGATCTAAATATTAAAATAGAGCTGGATGGGGATGCATTACAATCTTTGACTTGAAATTATACTAGAAAGCTACTGTGATTAAAAAAAACAGTGTGGTACTAGCAAAATCAGACTTGGAGATCAGTGGAACAGATCAGAGGATGCGGAACAGCTGCTGACACTCTAAGCTACCTTATCTTTGACAAAGGTGCCAACACATTCACTGGAAGACAGCCACTTCAGTAAATGGCGCTGAAAAAAACTGGCCATACACATGCTGAAGTTTAAAATTGGACCCATATCTTTCACTATGCACTAAGCTAAAATCGGAAAAGATCTTAATATTAAAACAAATATTAAATCTGCTAGAAGGTAGAGTAGGTAAAACACTTGAAGATCCCAGTGTAGGCTAAGACTTTATGAACAAAAACTTAATCAACCACTGGGACTCATCCTACTGAAAAACTTTTGCACAGCAAAAGAAACTATTAACAGTGAAGTACAACCCATGAGTGGGAGAAAATGTTTGCCAGCTGTTCCTCAGACAAAGGATTACTACCGAGAACATATAAAGAACTAAAAAGTATCAGCCCTCTTAGATTTAAAATCCCAATCCAAAAATGGGTATCTGAGATAAATACACATTTCTCAGATGAAGAAATACAAACAACAAATAAATATGTGAAAAATGGTCAACATCATTGGTCATTTGAGAGATGCAAATTAAAACAACACAGATTTCACCACACCTCAGAAAGAATGTCTATTACTAAGAAATCAACCAATAATAAATGCTGGAGGCGTTGTGGGGAAAAAGGAACCCTCCCCCATTGTTGGTGGGAGTGCAGACTAGTGTAACCCCTGTGGAAATCAGTGTGGATAGTACTCAAAAACCTAGGACTAGAGCTACCATTTGATCCAGCTATTCCCCTTCCGGGCATCTTCCTAAAAGAATCAAAAACATCATACCACAGTGATATATGTGCACACATGTTTATAGCAGCACAATTTATTATTGTTAGATCTTGGAAACAACATAAGTGCCCACTGACTGAGGAATGGATAAAAAAATGTATTTTTCTACAATGGAGTACTAAGTCATAAAAAAGGATATACTGGATACTTTTATAGGTAAAGTGGATGCAACTTGAGACCATACTCATAAGTGAAATAAATCAGACACGTGTAAATATCCTATTGTCTCACTAATGTGAGAAGCTGAAAGAAACAACATGTATTTGTATATTTATATAAAAAAGACAGTTAAGATAGTTATAGAAAATAAATTAAAAATAAAACAGAGCCAGGCCTATCTGAACTCCAGTACTTGAAAGGCTGAGGCAGGAAGATTGCCTTGATTTTGACTTCAGCCTGGAGTACAAAGTTCAAGGCCAGCCTGAATTACAAAGTGAAACCTTGTCTCAAAAAGCAACCACTCACCCAAAACAAAACAAAACCCAGAAAATTTATTTTAAAAAATAAAATACTAAACCAGAAAAAGTTTAAATAGGTAAAATTCTAGAAGACTTAGAACTAGGCAAGAACTTTGTAGAGAAACCCAATTGTATAAGAAATGACATAAAGCATCAACAAATGAGATTACATTAAAAAGCATTTGCACAGCAAAGGAAACAACCAACCAAGAGTGAAGGGACAACCCACAGAATGAGAAAAAAATTAGCTGGTTCTGGTGGTACAAACGCCTATAACCCCAGCACGCCAGAGGCTGAGGCAGGAGGATCATAGCAGGATTGAGACCAGCCTGGATTATATAGTGAGACACCCCCCTCCATGCCCAGCTATTCCTTGGACAAAGCACTAACATCTAGACTATGTAAAGAACTTCAAAAAAACTAGACCTCACCAAGTAGGGAGCTATTTTGGTTCTTTGTTGAGATAAAATACATGACACCCAAAATTAGGGCCGGGAAAGTTTATTTCTTACAATTCTGGAGGTTTCAGTCTATGCTCAGCTGACTCCAAGGCAGGGTGGCATGGTACAGCTACTCTTCATGGCTCACTGCAAAACAGCAAGAGCAAACTGTACCAGGAAGAAAATCTGCCTTCTTCCTGCCCTTACACTGTATGTTGGCCCCACCCCTGGACCGGTGTAGCACTCACACCACCAATCCCACGCTAGACAATTAACCAATCACAAGCACTGGATTCAACCACCTCCCGTGATTGCATGAGGCCATCCAAAGACAAACCATAATAGTAGCTAATGAATAGACACTTCAAATGGCCAATAAATACAAGAAAAAAAATGTTCTAAATATCTGGCCATTAGAGAAAAGCAAATTCAGACAACACTGAGATTCTTATCTTAGCCCAGAAAGGCTACCATTGAGGAATCAAATAATAAATGGTGATGAGACTGGAGAAGAAAGAGTCCTCTTATCTTGTTGGTAGGAATGTAAACTATGGAAGTCAGTGTGGAGATTCCTTTAAAAACTAAAAATAGAAATTCCATTTGACCCAGCTATTCATCCCTTCTAGATATCTTCCTAAGTCAAAAGCATTGTACTGTAATGATGCATGCATACCCATGTATGTAACAGCCCAGCTAAAAATTGTTGAATCTTAGAAGAGGTCTGTCATCAGATGAACAAATAAAGAAATTGTGGTTATTATGCACAATAGAGGATTACTCAGCTATATAGAAGGATAAATTTGTCATTTGTAGGAAAATGGCCACTCCTTGAAATTATAATAATGTTAAGTGAAATAAATCAGACAATTAAGTTTAAATACTGCATGGTTTCTCTTGTATGAAAAACTCAAAGCATAAATAAAGAACAAAATAAAAGATAACAGAAACAGGGACATAGATTTTTTTGTAAATGGCAAGGGGACTAGGAAATGGAAAGACAATGAGAAGGAGCTATAAAATGAGATGTGTCATGTATGTGCACCAGCTCCTCATGATGAAAGTGATATGTACTGTAAATACGCACTAATAAAAATGAAAGTCACAAAAACAGACGTAAGATTTGGATGGTGACCAGTGTCCACATAGAAAGTCCTTACAGGTTCGATTGCATATTTACTTTTGCTGCTAAATCATCTTCTGTTTGGCTGTCAGCCCCTTTTGCTGCCTACATGGTTGTACAACATTATTTTAATTGAATGTGATTGGGCCATGCCTGGTCTGTTGTGAAAGAGAAATGCTCCAATTGTAGCAAATGAAACTTCAGGTGAGGATTCAACAATGAACTTCATACAAACTGAAGGAGGAGGGTTGTTTTTGTTTTTGTTTTGAGAAAATTAGGGCTCTGTCACTGCACAGACCTGGCAAGGCTGGGCCTCCAGTGAATTTTGAGCCATTTAAGGGGAATGAGAAGATGCATACATTATAAATGTAAGTATTAGACTCTTAAGAGTCTTCATTGAAGATGTTTGATTTCTGGTTATTGAGTTAATATTTCTGGACTTCAGTTTGCTGTAAAAATAAAAGGTCATTATATTACTGCTGCTGTTGCTGCTTTTAATGCTGAGCAACAAAGACACAGTATGTTCTGTTACACTTAGTAGCATTTTAAAATTTGAGAGAAAAATATGTACTTTCTGATTTTCTTACTGTTGTTAATTTCCATTCAATCAGTGGCTAGTCAGAGAACGAAGCCAATGCAGCAATCTGAACAGAGAACTAACTACTAAGGGCTCAAGAAGAGTGTCAAGAATGTAGGTTTCCCAGAGATGGTGGGGCATGGCTGTACTCCCATCTACTTAGCAGGCTGGGGCAAGAGAATTGCAAGTTCAAGTCTAGCCAGGGCAATTTAATAGGACTGTGTCTCACAAAAACAAAAGTAAAAAGGTGTGTAGCACATTACTCCCTGGGTTCAGGAATGATTTAGAAAGGAAACAGAGCTAGATGTGGTGGCTTGCACCTGTAATCCCAGCATTTGGGAGGCTGAGGCAGGAGGAACTTGGCAAGTTTGAGACCACCTTGGGCTATATAGTGAGACCCTATGGTGGAAAAAAGACAGACAGACAGACACAGACAGGCAGACAGAAAGACTCCCTTAGAACTGGGAAGGCATTCCCAAAGAAAGAACTCCTTTGAAATGGTTAGCATATACAACTAAAACATAAAGAAAAATCTATAAGACAGTTATAGTTGTCATTTCTGTAATTAATCACAAGGCCATAGCAGATGTCAGTGGCTTCTTCAGTCACCCATGTCATGATTTCCTTGCCCTCAGGAAAAGTCGTCCAACTTTCATGTGGCCCCTGTGTTTTGGGTCTTACAGTTCTCTCTCTCTCTCTCTCTCTCTCTCTCTCTCTCTCTCTCTCTCTCTCGTCTTTTTTGAGATAAGGTCTCGCTATGCTGTTCAGGCTGGTCTTGGGCTCACTTTATACCCCAGGCTGGTCTAGAACTTTCAGCAGTCCTCTTGCCTCAGCCTCCTGAGAGCTGAGATTATAGGCACAGTCTTTATTTTAACATGGAAGTGATGAGAGGTATCTTGAGAATTTCCTTGGGTTCAAGACTGAGTCTTTGTTGCTTTTATTAAATAGCCACTCAGTCTTCCCTGATAGTTGTCTATAATCATTCCAGCCCATAAGCTCAAGCTGTAGGTTTAGGGGGATGCGCCCCCCCCCCCCCGCCCCATTGGCCATGTGGCAGTTTCATCCAGTTTAATTGAACCATGAGAGTAAAACCTCCAAATTAGGCGAACTGAGTTGTCAAAGTGGAAGCAAAGAGTCTGAGTGGAGTAATGGATGTCATAGTGGAGGGGCAGTGCTGTGGAAGCAAGTGTTGTGCGTGTGCGAAGCCCTGGGTTCAGTCCCTAGCGCCAAAAAAACAAAACCAGGAAAACAAAATGAGCCAGGCGTGGTGGCACACACCTGTAATCTCAGCACTGTGGAGGCTGAGGCAGTAGGGAAATCACAAGTTGGGGGCTAGCCTGTACTGTATCCCGAGAGCCTGCCACAAAAACTATCAAAACTGTGAAACAAAACAATAAACACACAAAGTGAGTGGAACTACTTTACCTTCTACCCTTAGATTCCCAATCCTGCATTTTCTGTGAGGAAGGTAGCACCATGTCTCTGATTCATAACATGGTCCCACCCTTTCAGTGTTGTCTTCCCCTAAAACAGTAACTGAGTGTTGGTAAATGATTCTTCCTCTTAGGTAAGCAGCCATTGTGTGTAGTGGAACAAGGTGATACCATTCCCACCAGTGCAAACCTGTTCCACTGGGCGGCTTGCACCACTGGCAATAGGAGTTGGATATAGTCATGCGTGGACAGTCGTACATGTTCCACCATGATTCAAGCTCCCTGGTAGTAAGACCTACAAATTATGGTCCTGTCATGAATCCCTTAGGCACAAGCCCATTTTATTTGAAACAGAAAAGTATTTCAAATAGAAAAAACAGTGAAATCAAAACAAAATTTCCAAATATATCAATCAGGGCACAAGCCCATTTTTGCACGTGTTAGGCCTGAAATAACACTGTTGGTTAGAAGCAAAACTGTCTGGAATGTCACGATGGAAGAGCAGCACGATTTCTATTGGTCCTCGGCAGTGGTGCAGGCAGAAGCATTATAAGGCAGAGAAGGCAAATCTATATCCAGAAGACATTTTATTCTGTCCAGTAAGGACAAACCTTTGTTCCTTGCCCACTCCCAGCCCCACCTCTATGATAGAAGACTTCATTATAATCAGCTCTCCCTGGAATGGCCTTATTGTTGGTCTGTGGTGTTGACAAATTAGTCACTTGGCAGAAGCTTTAGCCAGGTCAGCTTTGTTTAGGTGAAGACCATGCATTGCTTCTACGGCCACTTTTTCAGTCAATTTTTATTTTTTATTGGTATTTCTTGGGTCAATCTAGTGGGTGGGAGAGTTTGAGAGCTGCAGAGTATATCATTTTGGTGGGCTTTTTTTCCCCCTGATTTTTTAAAAGAAAACAATAAATAACAGCAAAACAATCAGGATAAAGGATTTCAAAACAAGATGATAGGAATTTAACAATAGTGGTTATATTGCATATTGTTTTTTTTTATTTAAAGAGAAAAAAGAAAGGACATTAAAAAAAAGCAGTAAAAGGGTACAAGTAATACAGAATATCAAGAAAAAATATATACAGTAAGAAATCACTAGTTAATAGGTTACGTATTATCTTCTTAGAAACAGTTGTCCAAATTATAAAATTAAAGCATATAAAGTAGACATTCATACAGTGATATTGGAGACAGTTCCGTTCAATGATCCAGCAAAAAGCTCAGTAATATGGTTTTCCATCCTACACACTCAAACATACCTGTGGTTATATCCCTTAGTCCACCTTCCTTTCCTCTCTTTTTTACAATAACAATTATACTTTTTGGGTTTTATTACTCCCACAGTTTTTTGTTTTGTTTTGTTTTTTTCTGTAATCTATTGAGTTATTTCCCACAGTTCTTATTACTTTTTTTTGAAGAGAATAAAACCAAATGTGACTAAGCAAAACAGAGTCAGAACAGAAGGATAGGCATAGTACATGATGCAAAAATAGAATACCAGGTGATCAAATTTTGTTATCTTCAGAATAGTTGTTCAGATTATGTCATTTGTCAACTGGATTATTGAGAACCTCACCTACAATATTCTTCAACAGTTGCTCACTTGGAACACAAATATCTTCACAGTCTGTGTCCATTGGAGAGCTTCATCAGCCCATCTTTCCCACAGATTTCCGTGTCACTCTTTATTCCAGTGTCCAACCAACCAGCCAAATAGTAATCCATAACTGCTAAGGAACCAGGGAGTCAGTGTTTCTGACCATGTCTCACTATAGACAGAAACGAAGCCAAATGTACTGCTCAGAGTTCAGTCCTCCAAGAGGAATTTTCTTTACCACTGTGCTAAGAGCTGCCGTTTTCACAGACCAAACTTGAGTCTTTCCCATGCATGGTCACTTAGTCACATGGTGTTGCTGGAAATCACTCGAAGGGTCGGTGGAGTGGAGGCAGCATAATAGGAGTGCATACTGAAGGTGCTTGAGCCTCGTGCTACTACTAGGCCCGCTGGACTTTGACCTCTTACATTCTTTGCA